GGTTAAGCCTTAACTTTTTTGGATCTGGGCAAAGCAATTTGAAGAAGCGGAGGAGCAGAATTAAGAGATTCGCTGAGGACTTCAAGTGACATGATGTAGGAATTCATCAGCCAGACAAAAAAGTGTGACAAATATTGTGAAGGCTGATTAAAACCTCGGTTTTATATTCAAAAGGAAGCGAGACTATAAACGTGCTCTTGTTTTAGTCTCTATAGGCAGCTTCCTACACACCTCTACACCAAACAGAAACCATTTCTACCTCCCCAGGGAAACCCTTGCTTACATGTCTGCTCAGCCTACACTACTCAGCATTCACCCATTGTATCACAAGTTCCTTGAAACCAAAACCAAGAAACTAGATTACTTTAAAAGGGGGGGAAAAAAAATTAATGAAGTTACAGGAAGCAACAGGTCCCCACTCCCAAAGGTCTATTGCAAAAAAATGTTTTCTCCCAGCGTTTCCTCTCAAAATGCATCATAGTTGGGTGCTAAATGACTGGGGGAAGGGCGGTTTTGGAAATCTGGCCTCAATTCTCAGTGCTAGGAATGTTAAAAAAAAAAAAAAAGGCCCCAAGAAAGTCAGAAGGATAAATAAAACGAAACAGAACACGAAAAAGCATCACATGTGATGCAGCAGAAAATGTGTCCAAAACAAAATCCAACCCAGAGATCCTCTACTAACACATGCTGCAAAAAAACCAACACATGCACCATGAGGCCTGCCAGAAGCTGAGCGTATTTTACTAAGCCATTTTAAAAATGTTTCCACCACAAAGAAGCAGCAACCTGCTCTGGGCAAGGATGTGTCCTTGTTGCCCTGATCCCCACTGCACACCCTCAGAAGAGCTCCAGTTCCTCCTGGCTGCCTTGTCACGTAAAACTGGTGGACTTTGCAAGCAGGCTCCTGCGTGTTCAAGGAGGACCAAAGGAGGATTCGGTTTCTTCCCCTCCCCAACCATCCTCTCACACCCATCCACTCACACTTCCTCTCTCAAACTTCCCCATCTTTCAAAACAGGCAAGGGAAATTTCCTGCCTGCCCCATGCCACGTCCACAAACCCCTTTCAGCCATCCCGAGAACATCCTCCAGTCAGGGTCTCCTCCAGCTGGGCTCCGAGGGGTTTCGGAAAAGATGGTAACAAAGAAATTAATGTGAAGTTTGATTTTTTTAAGCCACGTCCTTTTATTTTTGCCATCTTCCTACACGGCATACCTATGCAATCACCATCACAGTCGTGCCACATGGATTGTACAGCGCTTCCAAGTTAACTCAGACTAGCAACAGTCCCATCAACCAGCTTAAAAAGAGTAATAACACTTGCAAAGTACCAAGGTGGGCTCAGCATCTAAGAGCGGGACTCAGCAAGGCTCAACGGCAAGTTCATTTTCACGTGACATCTTCATAAATCACAGAGAAAGAAAATCAGAGCACTAAATACATACGGTGGGAAATGCTGGAGAAGACTGGAAAATAAGGAACCTTGAGAAAATAGAAATATGAGAAAGAACAAGTAGAAACTAATATTAGAAATATCCCTCAACAGGGAAAAGTTAAGTTAGAGCAAAAGACAAATTGCAAGTGGGAGGTTTAACACCTTCACAAAGTTTGCATAAAGCTTTTCCTTCTTATAATCTGAGCAGACAGAGAGCAAGGAGGGAAAGTCCCCATCTCCAGCACTCTGATGCAAACCACGTTCAACTCCAAGCTATTCGGTATCAGAAGGATATTGGCAAATTGGAAGGCATTCAGGAAAATACAGTTAAGCAGCTGGAGGGATTGATTTACAAGGAAAGATTAAAATAACTAGATGCCTAGTTTGGCTAAGCGGTAAGTAAGGTGGACATGATAATTTTTTACAGTTAGTTGACAGGCAACTGCCAAAAAGGAGAGGAAGTGTTTAACATACTACAATTAGTTATAACCAAAAGATTGGCACGCAATTAAGGAAATTCATGGCTGCATTAAAGTTCTCAAAGCAGTGAGGTCTATCGGATACTAAAATAGCCTCCTAATTCTCAATTCCCAACCAACTTCTAGGATCAGAAATAAAACACTCTTCTGAGAAAAGACCATCCTGGCCGCAGGTAATCATTACAAACCTCGCAGGTCGATTGCTGACTAGCTGCTTCCACCAGCTGAACCCACACCTTTTTTGTTTGTTTGTTTTTAACACTAAGAGCAAACAAGCACTCCAGCACTCTCCAGCCCACAAAGTGATTACAGTTGGCAACAGTCATTACCCCACTCATGTCACAGAAGGTGAATATCATCTCTCACTTCAAGGAAACAAGGACCAAGGATGTTAACCCTACTCATTTCCCAAACAAGAATCTGGCTGTTCAATCCACCTCCCACAACCTTCTCCTCCACATTCAAACAGTGAAGTTATTCTTAGTCTCTGCTGAGAAAACCCCAATCCAAAAAACTGTTCAGCAAAGCCCGTGGTTGAGAACTGCTACTGAATTCCTCTCCAGAAATGACTGCATTTTAGTGATAACTATTTTAAAAGCAGTTTGCAAAGAACTAGACAACTCCTTCAGACCGTGCCTGGCAGAAGAAAAGTCCCTGCCCAACAAGCACTCTAGTGAGGCAAAATAAATTGGGAAGTCCGCTGAAGTGTTAACGACACTTTTACATTGTACTCCTGAACGTTAAATTGAAATGTTGTCTTTCGAGGGACCTGAGCAGGGAAAGAAGTGATAGCTTCATAAAGAGAACGATGGGACTTGGTAAAGAAGAGTTGACAGACAGAAAGAACAAAACAAGGAAAGCTGAGCAGAACAAGGAGGTTTTGTTGTCACACACATTTCACCTCACATCTGAGCCAGCCGATCTCTTTTCCTTAGTAAGTTTGAGGGACTCCGTACCAACACTTCTGGCAGTAGGAACAAAACAGCTTTGAGACGTAACCCAGGTTGTGCTCGCAAAGTTGGAGCTACTGAGAGGCAACAGATTCCATGGCACCAGTGGCAGATGAGCAAGTGCGCGGTGAAATCTCACCACTTCAACAAGCTCTCAGAACTTTGAGCTCTTGAAGTGCCCCAGTGAGAATTAACCACTGTTTCAGACTTCAGAAGAAACTACTTAATTCTCTAATTCCTGCTGTTTGCATGTCTTCCTTTACTCAGTGTTGTGGGAGTCACTGATCCACCTGGGACTGCATGGGGCTGAGAGTCCCCCGCCTCTCAACACCCTGCAGATCCACAGCCATACCCCAGCCTACACCCTATTCCCCACCTCACCCCCATGAGCACCTACAACCCCTCCACATCCTTTACACATCTGCTTACCACTGGGAGCCCCTACATATAGGCCTGGATCCTCCCCAGCTGCCCCAAAAGAGTTATGAGCCACCAGGCCGAGTCCAAACCCCTCTTCATCCAGGAGGACAGAGTCCCAATTAAAGGGGTTCCCCCAGCACTTGCACCTCAGGGGGTCCCCCACACAATCCCTCCTGAGGCTCCTCTAACCCCTGAGGTCCCTGTATCTGCCATCCCCCAGGACGTCCCATATCTTTTCAGGGTCCCCCAGGACCTGCACACCAAAGAGTCTCCCATATCTACAATCTCCAAAGACACCCCCCCCGCCCAATTCTCTCTCATCTTCCAAAGCTTCCCCAGCCCTCAAGACCCCCCCCGTGTGTGCAGTCCCTCAAGACTCCCCAAAACCTCTTCAGGGTTCTCTCCTGACTCCCACCACATGACCCCCCTCCCCTTAAACCCCCCCATCTGCAAACCTTAAGGCCCCCTCAAGACACCCACCCCCTATTTGCAATCCCTCA